TGCTCTTTGGTCCCATCTGGTGATAACGTTTCATTCAGCACATGCATGCACTCTTTCAGCTTCTTTTGAAAGCAGCTTTATGTTTTTAGCTTATTTAGGCCCGATTTTGGTCCAGAGCCTTTTCTTTAAAGTTCTTTTCTGATGGGTTTTAGGGCCGATTTGGTTGCTTTTAATTGCTGTAGCAGATACATATGAAGGCGTCTCCTCATGATTAAGCAGTTTCTTATCTCAGCTTGACCTGTGCTATATACTTAATTTCTTTAAATTCTTTTGTAAAACTGTTCACTTTAAGCCCAAGTAAAGAATTAGAGCTTTCCAGATCTTTTATTAATGGGCTCTGGGTTTATTTTTCCTCTAGTCTGATTTCTCCTAATGTTGTTTCAAGGCCTCTGAAGTGTTTTTCTGTAATGCTAAGCTCAGGCACAGATGTCTTCTCGCCAGAATGGCAGACACTCTGGCCTTCGGGATGAAAAGTGGACGGCAGCACTACCTGCCACCATGAGGTCTTGCCCAGTTTCCTGCAGCAGTGTCACGGACTGACACCCCACCAGCCGCACTGCATACAGTACCACAGCTGGTGGCAGGCAGACTGTAGGGCTGTCTTTATCTTCTGGACAAGGACAGGGCCACAGGGGAGAAGAAGTGGTAGCCTTGGGCCTGTGACTCAGCCCTGTTCCCCTCCTGTGGGAAGAGGGCGCCCTCCATGGCTGCTCTGCGGAGAATGAAGGGTAGAGGAGGAGGGGAACTGTTTTGTTTTAAACATGAAGTATCTCAGAGACTCACATTGAGGGCCAGGTCCTCAACGTTTAGAGGTGAGGTCTAGGGAAACCTTGGGAAAGGACTGGCTAATGAGGACAGTACCTGTACCGACTGGGGAATGCATTGATGAGTTCACAGCTGACAGAACCCAGTTGGTGAGGCCCAGTTGGAGCAAACGGGTCTCTGGGGACATGATTCTGGATTGTATGTCTAGCCCGCCCTTCCTCTTGGGGTCATTCCCTGTTCTTTGTTCCTGGCTGCCATGAAGCTGCATCCTTCCACCATGATGTTCTGCCTCACTTAAAAGCAATGGGAACAGCAGACCATGGACCAAAACCTCTGAAACTAAGCCAGAATAAGTTGTTCTCCTTTTAAGTTGTCTTTACGTTTTTATTGCTGTGGCCAAAAACCTCACACAGGAGTGTAGCAGAGAGTCATTGCAGCACCTCATGGAGAGTAATGGGTGCCTGACCAGGCTCTGATTACTGCAGCGTGCAGGTAACACAGGCCTAGACAGAGCTTACTCTGCCACAAACAGCTAGTGCAAGAGAGCAGGACCTTGTGAACAGAGGGATGCTAGGAAAGGCTCCCAGCCAAGGGAGAGTTAAAGGATGGCCACTCAGGGCACCTGACAGCTGGGGAGCACACAGCCGTGTGGGAAAGTGAAAAACCTTTGCATATGGGGAAGAGGATGAAAGAAAGGGTCAGTGTTTGAAAAACTGAGTGAAAACGCCCCCAAACTTGAAGAAAACCAAACCAAAACAAAACAGTGGACAAATTAAGAAACTCAATGCATTTCAAAGATAAAACCAGAGATGCTGTAACACACATAGACAATATTAAAGAATAAGACAGCTTACAAAGGTTCAGAGACTTCAGTACCCCACTTTTTAATGAGCACTAGACAAATCCCTAAGGGAATGTACAACTTGAACATCACAGACGGCCTGAACTATCAGACATACAGGGAATATCCCGCCAGCAAAACGTAAGACACATTCTTCTCAAGAATACACAAAACAGTAAAAAAAACAAAAAAGACCAAAACCATAAAAAAAAGTTTTCTCTGACCACAATGTAGTGAAGCTAGAATAACAGGAAACTGGGACATTCACAGTTGTGTGGAAATAAAAGAAGACACTCTTATCAAGGGGTCAAAGAAAAAATCTGAAAGAGAACCCGAAAAAAATCCCGGGATAACTAAAATGAAACATACCCAAATTTTGGGATGCAGTGGAAGCAGCACTGAGGAGGAAATCTGTAGCTCTAAACATACTAAAAAATAAGACGTCTCTATGCAGGAACCCACTTTGCATTTTAAGGACAAAAAGAGCAAACTAAACTCACAGCTAGCAAAAGTGGAAAACATTAAAGCAAAGAAAATAGGAGAAAAAAATAAAGTAGTTCTTCAAAAGGTAATAAAATTAACAAAACTTTAGCTAAGAAAGAACCAACTAAATCCAAAAAGGGGGCAGTAAGAGTGTATGAAAGGGGCTGGCATAAGCGCCTGCCTGGCAAGTGAGAGGTCGCGAGTTCGAACGCTGGTACCACCAAAAAAAAAAAAAAAAAAAAAAAAAAAAAAAGACTGCATGAGAATACTATGAACAGTTGTATGTCAACAAATTGGGTAACTTAAATGAAATTTCTTGGAAACATACACCTTACACTACCAGAACTGAATCACAAAGAAACAAGAAATCTAAATGCATCTATGAATAGTAGGGGCATTGTTGGGAAATTGTTCACTCCTAGTTCAAAGAAAGGGAATGCTTCCTAACATTATGAAACCATAAACTACCACTGTACTCTGGTACCAAAGCCAAACAAAGACACTGTACAAATCAGTGTCCCGTATTAATAAAGACATGAAAATCCTCAACAGAAGGACAAATTGAGCTGGACCTGGTGGTGCACATGTAATCTCAACCTTTGGGAGACAGGCAGAAAGATCTCAAATTCAAGACCAGCCTGGGCTACACAGAGAAGCCTTGTCTGAAAACAAAAATACAGTATTAAAAAGTGGAGTCCCTGCTGCATATTCAAAGGATTATTTACCATGAACAAGTGGGGATGTAGTCTAGGAATGGAAGAAAATCAGTGTAACCATCATAGAATGGGAGGGGGCAAATACACATTTTAATTTATGTAGAAGATGCCTTTAGCATTCCTCCTAAAATGAAGACCACGTCAGAGCTGCCATTCACCACTATTTAACATTGTACTGAAAAGCCAGAGCTACTAAATAATAAGACATCCAAATTATAATTGAGATGTGAAACTATCTCAATTCACTAACGACATAATCTTATATGTAGGACATCTCAAAGAATCCACTAGCAAGCTACCAAACAAACCTGGACATGCCAGGCTACAAGGTCAGCACACAGATGTAGCTAACATTTCTGTACAGCAGCAGAAAATGATCCAAATAGGAACTCAGGAAAGCAGTTTCAATGGCATCTAGAAGGAATATCTAAGGGTAAGTCCAGTCAAGGAGGTAAAAGACTTGCCACGTGATATGTTACAAACAAAATGTGGAAAGAAATCAAAGAAAATGTTAAGACAGTGAAGAAATAGCCCATGCTCTTGGACTGAAAGATTTAGCAATATGAAGAGATGTCAGATACTGCTCAAAATGATCTTAAGAGGTAATGCCACAATCCCTATCAACATTCCAACAGCCTTTTTCACAGGAATGGAAAATCCAATTTTCATAAGGAATTTCAGTGGGCCCCCAAAAAACCAAAGTAGTCTTTAAAAAAAAAAGTTGCAGGAGTCAAGTTGCCTTGTTTCTAAAACTAATACAAAGCATAGCAATTAAAACAGAAAGGTATTGGCATAAGGATAGACACACAGACCATGCCATGAAATAAAGCAACAGGAAATGAATTCTTACATATTAGGTCAATTGATTTTCAACAAGTGCATCATGATTCAATGGGGGATCATTGTGATCATTCAGCATAAGGCACAGGGAAAACTAGATATCCACATAAGTAACAATAAAACTGTTACTTACATCATAAAAACCAACTCAAAATGACAGATCTAAAATGAAGAGCTAATTATAAAATTCTTAAAATTTTGAAGAGATGTTCATGACATTGAATTTGGCATAGATTTCTAGTCTGACACCAAAATCACAGGCAAATAAAAGCAAAAAATACAGCGGCTCACCAAAATTAAGAACTTTTGTGAATCAAAGTGCAATATGGAGAGAGTGAAAAGATAACCCACTGAGAGGGAGGAATACTAGGACATTATACAGCAAGTAGGGAAAACCCACCAAATTAAAAAACAGACAAAGGAAAAAGGAGGGGAACTTGGACACCTCCCTAAAGAAGATACAAACATTGAAAAGAAGGTAAGTATCACCAGGGTAATGCAAATTAAAATTACAATGAAAATCTACCTGACACCACCTAGGATGGCTTTTCAGAAAACGTGGCCTATAATGCGGCCCTTGGGAGGCTAAGGCAGGAGGGGTGACAGTGAGCTGGAGGCCAGCCTGAACTGCACAATGAGACTCTCTCAAAAACAAAACAACGGTGGTTGAGGATGTGGACAAATTGTAACCCTCGTAACTGCTGGTGAGTAAGGAAGGACCTTGTTACAGCTGCTGGAGAACGTGATTTGGCAGTGCCTCGAGAAGTTAAATACACAGATGACCCAGCAGTTTCATTCTGAGATACATTCGCAAATGTGACAGCAAGGGTTCCAACAGATGATCTGTATACCTGTGTTCATAGCAGTCTTACTCAAAGCAGCTGAAAGGTACGACAAACTAGCACCCTCCTGGAAAACAAGAATTGGCACGTGTGTGTGAACGGAAGAACTGTGGGAGCTTCCACATCTACCTTTTGCAAGGCAAGCTGGATACCCAGGGAAGACTTGGTATCACGGTGGCCTGTCCAAGGCAGGATTCCTTCCTTTGATATATTTTAATGCTACCAAATTTTATGCCTATTTTGCCACAGAAGCGTGAAAAAGGCCAAACCCCCAGATACGACCAGTGTGCAAAGGAGGGATCGACAGATGCTACGCTTCCCACTCCAGGGAGGTTTTGCTTGATAAAGCACCTCTAACCAAGCTACCACATTTTCCTGGTTCTTAGTACAGTTCTGACCTTCCTTTTGCCCTTTTTCCTTGGAAAGCCCTTCCCATATTTCTGACCATTGACTTTTTCTTATGAAACTGTAAGGAACTGGGATCTCATTTGCACAGCAAGATAACAGGCATCATAAAATGTAAAGTCGTGAGTTTATTGCATATGTAACAAAATGAACCTGACCTCCCGGGTCCAGCCTGCTGTACAATCAGTTTGTTTTGTGTTTCCAGCTGGTTCCATAACCACATTAAATAGAACTAGTATTTAAATACTTTTGATTTTGACATAAAACGGAACATTAGTGTACATCTTTCACAAAATAAATCAGCAATAAAAACAGTGGGAAGAATAACAAGGATAGCAGCAATACTTAAAAACAAGACATTACAAAATAAATTAAAAATACATTATAAAGTGGTTGAGAAACAAAAATAAACAAACTTTAAAAATCCATACTGTGTTTCAGGAAGGCTGCTGTGCGGCACACAGCTGGCTGCAGGTGGGCAGGGTGTGTTCTCTGCAGAAGACCGTTCCTGACATCTCCAAGTTGAGACCCACCTAACCTGAATTTGGACCACGCGGCTGAGCCAGCTTAGGGGTCAAACCCAATCGAGCGGCTGAGTCTCCTTGCCGAGGTGGAGAGTGCTATCTGTGTCACCCCGAGCTGCCCATGTGGCCCTCACTTTCCTACCCGAACGCCGCAGAGTGGTGGTTTGCTACATCCCTGAGTGTCGGCTGTTGGCCGCTGGGAGGGCGAGCTGGGAAGTTGGGCCCTTGAAGGGTTTAGGTGAAGAGGAACCACAGGGCAGGGGTGGGGGGACCAACAAGATCACACATGGACCACCAGGAGCTTCACCAGAAGTGGGGAGTCCAGAAGCCCTAAACCATGGTCAGCAGTTCAAGCTCTTAAGTACAGCGGCCTGCAGAAGCTGAGTGGACTGCACAGACTGGACAGAACTCTGAGCAGGTCAGCAACACAGGCCGTGGTGGGCCCAAGCCACTGCCTCTCCTTAGCTGAAGGGACACCCGACCTGAGAGATGCAGGCCAGCGTGCTGCCCTGCCAAGGCCCGCGGCACTGTTCCTCCCAGCACAGAAGGTAGTAGTCAAGGTGTTACAAGCACCACTCTTGCTTCAGTCTTGAACTGCGGTGCCCTGGTTTCCTTCCTTGTACAGGTTTGGGAGGGCACCACCAGGAAATCCAGCATTTTTTATTTGGATCCAGGGGTCGAACTCATGACCTTGCACTTGCCAGGCAGGCACTTGTGCCACTGAGCTAAATCCCTGGCCTCCGGCAGTACTTCTGACCTGAAGAATTAGGTTGCTTCCCTCTGCAGCTGTCTTGTCCGGCTCCCATGGCTGGGGTCTTGGTCACAGCAAATCTCCCTGGGGGCCTGTACTTTTCAGTTTCTCTAACTTTAGGGGACTGTAAGGGAAAACTGGATGGAGTCCTGGGGAAATGGGTTTCTAGAACGCCCTCCAAAGCATCAAGGTGAATGAGACACAGATAAGCCCTACTGGGGCAAGGCAAAAAATTGAAAGAGACTAAGGCCGCACACTGGCCCGGACGTTCAAATGGACTCAATTCTCCTGCCACATGGTCCCTTCCGCCCCAGCACATCAGCAGTCCAGAGTGTCACCACAGACCCTGGGACTAGTGGCTGCTGAGCTGGACGAACCTGGATCAGGGTCTCAGGTGAGTGTACCCCACACCACCCAACAGACTGCTTCCAAGCACAAGAGCTGCAGCCAGGTGCACAGGGGTAAGTAATCCTCCACCGTAGGTCTCAGTCAAAGTAACAAAAACAACAGATGAAAGTCATCAAAGGCTCTTCCTGATCCATCTCAGACCACAGCAGGAGCTCACATGGAACTCAAACTTCAACAGCAGTGAAATGTCTTGCTAATGAATTACCCTGTACTTGTCCCCACCCCAAACTAAAACAGCAGCAACACCATACCAAAAAGTTTGTTGGTGCTACCATCTTCCAAACCAAGCCATTCTGGAAATAAAACACTGCCAGAACTTTTGTGCAAACTGGAAATGGTGTTAGAAACGCAGAGTTGGCTGGCTCTGGACTTGCTCGGCCTATGGAGATATTTGGGTAAGTGACTTGAACTGCTAAAGTCACCACTGCCACCAAGGCGAAGGGGCCAACTGAGTCCATGTGGAGTTGTCCACCCTGTGTCACTGCTTTTATCCATACCCTGTTTGTGTACAGCACTAACTCAGGTGGAACTGGTCAGCAGGGCCACTATCCCACTCTTTTCAGCTAGTAGCAAAACTGGTTAGTTTAGCTCTTAACAACTGCCACATCCAAGTTCGTTAACACTTCTAGAGACACAGTCGGTGCTCCTCTGTACAACAGGGCACTGGAATTGGCAAGGACCGACTGGTTAAATCTGAGGCTGGTTTTGGTCTGTTCTTTGCTTAGCTCCATAATGTATTTTCACTAGAAAGAATTTCAAACTGGATAGAGGATGCAGCAAAGGAACGATAGTTTTTCTCTGTGCAAAACAAGTGTTTTTTTCAGCCCGGATACTCTGAAAAGAAATACCCTAGGCCTCCAATGAAAGCTGCTCCAATTCCTTTACCTTACAAAGAGGAAACACATTTTGACTCAAGCTTCCTGCTGTGGCACAATTCCAATAAGCATACACTATGTAGTCATTTTTCAGTTAGAAATTAATCTGCCACTAAGAACAGGCTGTAGGATGTAAGACTTGGAATTTGAGCTCTGGTAAAATAACCAGCAGGTGCTGAGTTTGGAAAGGTGTGCCGAGGCTACATGAGAGGGGATGGCCAGTACACTGACCGTGCAAACCCGCAGGGCCCAGCTCACCCCTAACTGTGGTACAAGCTCCCTTAAAGAGCACAGGGCAGTAAGCCTCTTCCGCCATGTGTGACTGGGGCCAAGGGCAGAAACTGGCTGCGTTTTATTGGATGGGTGATGGAGGAGGTGGGAGAACTATAATAAAGGAGGATAGATGGGTGGAAGCCACCTACTAAAGTCCCCTGCCCCCTCCTTCTGCCAAGGAAGGAGGGAGAAAAGCCTTTTCCCTCAGGTTTTCTGGAATTCCGGGCCTCAGCCAGCTTTGTGGGAGGCACACAGAAGCTATATGCTTTTGGTCTGGTGGTCATGAGTGAGATTCTGCTGCTTTGAGCTGCTCTTCACTCCACAGCAAAGCCACAAGTTTCCTCCACTGCAGTCAGCAGCTTCTCGTAGAGCTTCTCATAGGATTCATAAGGTGGGATGTCGATCCGGTTAAAGCTGGAAAAGGACAAAGGAATCGGGAGTGACTGCTGGGGTAAGTGCTTGGGCTGCCTACCAGGCACGGCAAGGCAGGAGATAAGCTAGCAGCAAATGTGGAAGCACGAAATCTCATTGCCTGATTTGGGGCCGCAGGGAAAGGGTTCTCAGAGATAGTGAGTTCTCCACCTCGGTGTTTTACTCTGCTTCTAAGGCAAAGCTTTTTCAGTCAACCCACTGCAAAATAAATCTTGAGACCTTCAAAACCAAACTATAACTAAATTACTACTTAAACTGTTTATGAAGACAAAGCTTATAATTTATTTTTTGTCTTTGGGAAGAATTACTTTTCCTTCCCAGGAATACCCCTTTGCTGACCCCCAGAATCTAGACTGGCCATCAGCCAAGTCCTTGCTGCCTTGTCCGTTCCTTTGGGATTTTATCTGAACCTCAAATAGGGCAGTCTGGAAAACTCCCTGCAAAAACACATTATACCTAGTGCCAAATCCCCGAAAGATGAAATGAATGTCAAACTTCTGACTCGATACTTCCATGGGAAACTCATTTGCAGGATTTATCCAAGTAAAAGACATCGTTTAGGAAGCTACCATCTCAACACAGAATTGTGACCCAGAGAACACAGGGGCCTGTGAACTTCTGGGGCTCAACCATTAGGGATAGCTTTATCACTAAGTCATTGGGTTTAATGCAGTGGCACCCTTTTTTACTGGTACTTCAATGTCAGAGGGCATTTTTCTATCTCCTATGTCAGTACTGAACTATTAGAGGACAGAAGCCTTCTGAGGAAGGCATCATCGTGTGTCACCATAACAGGTTCCTGCAAACAGACGATACTACCACATCCAGGCAGGGCTTTCTGGTGGCCCAAGAGTCTTGAGAATAGCTGCGTTAGCCTAGTTAGAATACTCAGGATTGTTAAACCTAGTTAGAACAGTCAGTAACTTGCTCCAGGCCCATCCCTAAAGGGTGTACATCGTAGCAACTTGGGGATGTCTCCTGAAGGAGAAACCAGTGGTCCTGACACAAAGTATATGCCTGGACTAAGGCCTTTAAACTAGTGTCTCTCTCTCTCTCTCTATATTTATATATATATATATATATTTTTTTTTTTTTTTTTGTCTTTTTCCTTTTTATCGGTACCAGGGATCGAACTCACGACTGCCTGCCTGCAAGGCAGGCGCCTATGCCGCTGAGCTAAATCCCCAGCCCCAGTGTCTATATTTTTAAAGCTAAATATTTTTCAAAACAGGCCATCTCATAACCAGTTTCAAGAAGGAAAATGGGGACCCAGAAACATTAAAGTGAAGACCAATAAATCCAAATTTAAGTTTTGCCTTCTGAAGGTGCACACATGCATACAGACTCATAAGAGGCCGAAAAGGAGGGAGACATGGGCTTGTGCAGTAGTGGCCACATGCTGTCACCAGAATACCAGCACTGATCAATTACATGCCTTACAACAGATCAATTTTATAAGTCTCTTGACAACCCTCACGCAAATGTCCCATTGACCCAAATGCTCTTGCTAGCATTATCTGAGGCCCTGCATAGATAAAACAGTCCTACAAAGAAAACAGCTGGAACAACAAGACGGACCAGTGCCACCCCCCAGCAGCTCTTACCAGGTATGGGCCTTGGGTAGGTTGTCTGTGTTTGCATCTATCAGGTGGATGGTGAAGAGCCGGGGCCCTGCCGCGCCTGTAGAACCTTGCAAGACAACATTCTAGTCAATGCACCTCAGAGGCAGAGCCCAACACCAGGCACAGTACCCTGCTAGGGGGTGGCCCAGCTGCACCCAGTAAAGAAATGCAACATTTCCAAGGACTCAGGCAGAATAGACTTCTGAGAAGGTTCCCACCTAACCCTGACTGAGCAGCTGCAAGGGTGTCTGAGGGTGAAATCTCTGTAGCCACCACTCGGATAGAGACCTTATCAACTCCTGGATCCTTCCTCGGGTTTTTCCTGACTCAGCCTCAAGTGGCACCATGCCGGCCAGCACTGGCCACAGCTGCTGCCACAAAAACGGCCAACCCTACCTATGACACGAGCCTGCAAACTGATGTTCTTTTTTTTTTTTTTTTGTCTTTTTCATTTTTATCGGTACCGGGAATCGAACTCACGACCGCCTGCTTGAAAGGCAGGTGCTTATGCCGCTGAGCTAAATCCCCAGCCCCAAACTGATGTTCTTTTGGACATAACTATAGAGGCCACTGGGCTCCGTTTTGGTGGCATTTGCTCCTGTGTGTTCACTGGCTCCTTCCAGCAGAGCAACAGCTGGCAGTACCTAGAGCAGCAATATTGGGGCCATAGTGAGGACAGCAACAGTTCACCACCTTCAGGGAGGGAAGAGGGTACCCTGGGAGGAGGGTGTGGTCCCCTCAGCCACAGTGGGAGCCTGAGCAGCTCTACTCTCTCCTGGGTCCTTCTCCTGAGTCTGGCCAGCGCTGGTGCCCAGTCTACATCACTGCAGCGAGCAGTAATGCACATTCTCCTCATAGCAGCAGGCACTGTGTCCTGAACAAGGAGCTTGTCATGGCCCCAGATCACACCTGAGCTCATGTCTGGGCTGCCCGCTCCTGTTACATACAATGGGGACACTGAGCCCGCTTCCATTCCATTAGAGAGGATATGAAGATCCTGACAGCAGTAGGGAACTTTGCAGGAAGGCCTGTTGTGCGACTCATCATGACACAGGAAATCCAAGTCTGGGGTCACAGTATCATCGCAATTCTACCCTTTGCTTACCTCCTCTTTGTTTTCTTAGAGAAAAAATAAATCCTAGGACCTCAGTGAGTCTTGGTTTGTTGATCCATGCAGTGGGGGTAGAAAGCCTGCTCAGCTCTCTCTGTAGGTGTTAGGGAAAGGAGGCAGTGTGGCCACCATGTTGAGTGAGCAGAGACCCAAAGTGCTCAGGCTGGAACCCTCTACCCTGGCACTGGGCCCTGCAGAACTCTACAGGCAGACACCACCACGGTGCCTTTCCTTGGGTATTCTCAAAAGCCCTAGTGAATATTCTGTATTTGCACCAAATCTATAGCTGTAGGCTGTGGCCACAGTGGCTATAGGTGGCTCCTTTCATTTTCTCCCTGGAGTGGAATCCTGGGTCCTCTGCAGACACAGAACACCAGGGCCTTCCCAGACACCTTAGTGGCCCCTGCCAGACTAAGCATCCATGCTTTTTGAACAAAAAGTGGTGAGGAATGGGAACCACATGCCCTGGAGTGGCTCCACTGTGGTGACACGGTGCTCAGTGGGGATCTGCCAACCCATCTGGCTTGCAGCTCCACAGTGCTGAGCTTCCACTGTAAGAGAATTAGTGGCCGCACTGTTTTCTAGTGGACATCTCAACCATAACCAAACACTGGGCCCTTCCCACCACAGTCTGGTCAGTACACACGCGATGGAGCACAGCTTGGGGACTAGCTCTGCCACCACGTCAGGCACCTTGTAGAGCCTTGAATCCTTGGAGGGGGACTCGTGTGGAGCCGGTGACAAACTGCAGGAGCCTGGCTCTCCTCTCCTCGTCGAAGGTTTCTACTGCCTGCCAGAACCACCTGACGATGTTGCTGTCTGCCACACAGTGCTTCAGCCGTGTGTTGGATTTCCAGTCATTCAGATCAATCTTGTCCAGGCCACCTATTATTAACTGAGAAGGCACAGCAGGAGGTTAGTGCCAAAAGGCAGAAGCCACTGTGTGATACACAGCAATTAAAAGATTCAATGCCCAAAGCCAGGAAATAGTTTTGCCCAAATCTGCCTGACAGATGCTTAGACAGGAAGGAGCTGCATGGACAGGAGCCCAAAACCTATTTTCAGTCTTTCTCAGGTGGTGTTGGGCTCCAAGTGCACAGTTATTGACAGCACCACCTTGGAACCAAAGCTTGCTTCTGCTGTGCAGTGCTGAGGGGCAAATATCCAAAGACCAACCCGCAAGACTGAACAGAGCTAACTGTAACCATGGCATTCCTCTAGGACACACAAGGAGCACACATGTGAAGGGACAAGACCACAGCCAGTTATGCAGACCCTGGGTACATGGAACATGTTTTCCTACTTGTTTAAAAGCTCAATTCGGTGTGGTGGCACTCACTTGTAACCCCAGAACTCTGAAAGGCTGAGGGGGATGGATCAAAAGTTCAAGTCTAGGCTGGGCTACTTAACCCTGTCTCTGTAACAGAGCTGGAGATATAGCTCATGCAAAGGCCCTGAGTTCGATCCCTAGTACTGGGGTGGGGTCACTTTACACCTACCTCCTACTCAGGTGCTCTGGGCTTGAGGTTTCTATGAGACAACCCGAAGACGTGGATGGGCCTGTGGGCACCAGGTTAAAACCAACAGCCCTATACCCAAGCCCATGATCAGAGAAGACTGTAACACTTGGTTCTCAGTCTATTAGTAGCCAAAATAAGCAAGCAGGACTTTAGTATACACACAAAGATCTTTGGTCTGTGGTCTGTGGTGAGGGCTGTGGCATCTCCAGTCTAGAGATCCTAAAAATTAAGGCACAAACCCTTGAAGTAATTTCCTAGAATTATTCAGATTTCCTGCTGCCAAGGGACCCCTTACCAGGTGACAAGCAGCACAGGCACCCTCAGCTCCCCTCTCTGCCCAAGCCCCAACTATGCCCTTCTGGGAAACAGCTGAGCTTCATGTAACACTGGTGGCCTAGTGCCGAGGACCTACCTCTAGCTCCTTCTGGTCAAAAGGCTTCAGTAAATGCTGAGGGATGAGTTCATTAAACCCTTTCTGAAGCGCTAAGAACTGGGCTTCAATTCCTCTCATAAACCTCCAGTTTACATACAAGCTGAAAGAAAAGGCTGCATGTTGGAAACAATACCAAACAGGCACAGAGACACTATCTGCCTCCAGTAGCAGGCTTGGGTTCCACAGTGCAGCCAGTCCCCGATCCACTAAGACGGACAGACAGACACAAACCCCACTGGCAACTCCCCACTGTTAATAGTAAATTAAAAATGAGGTGGGAGACAAACCCCCCCAGTATGTTCCTTATATAGTTTGAATTTTTATTAAAACCAGCAGTAGGATTTAACTTGGTCTGCTAGGCCAAGTGCTATAATGTAACAGTACATTTGGAAGAAAAATAAAGCACAGTGTGTGGACTGTGCATGCATCTAAGTGCACACGTGCCCACATTTCTGAATCTTCAATGCAAGTGACTGGTTCCCTACACTGGTCTACCTCAAGCAAGCGGCAGACCCTCGATCCCGGAGAGGATTGCTGGGGACTGGCAGCACAAAGCCTTTGAGCCTGCCGCTCTTCCTGGGCTCACCCCACCGCCCCAGAATCAGGTGACCATGTGGAGTGCTGTCTGGCTTGGGTTCTGTCAGCCCTGCACCCCAGGCAGATGCCAAGCCTGACTCTTAAAAGCTGCTTCTGTTGACATGATTCCAGTCACAAGTGCTGTTATGGATGGTGAGCCTCATGCCAATCTGAACAGGAACCCAACTGCACCCAGGCCACCCACAGCACGCCCTAGATGTTACCGGACATATTCCTTCTTATTCTCCTCAGTGACAGGCACATTTCTGCCATTGGGTTTCAGCTCATGCTGAAGAATCCTTCCAAATGCGTTGTGTTCAACGCAGAATGTGTGATCCAGCACGGGAGTAATGTCATTCTCTCTGCCAAAGAAGACAAGAGACATGTGCCCATTAACACATGTGCCACCACACAGCCCAGCAGAAAAAAACAAAGGCGAGAGCTCTGCGAACAGGAGCCAGGCAGGGCTGCAGCGCGGGTGCTGAACGAGCCGGAGGGCACAGCTGGAGCTCCCGCAGCCCGACTCCGGGCTTTCCCGCACACAGGGAGGCCCACGTTGCTCCACCATGCTCTCATTTTATGACACACAAGACCTAACTGCTTTTTGCCCTGAGTCTGGGTGAGAAGGGAGAGAAGAGGTGGCTGGGTGAAAGGACGCCACACTGGGAACATAGTGCTCTCCTCTTTCAAGGCAGCCTTTTCAAACAAACCTGTTCCCACACAAAAGCACTTAGAAGGCAACTCTGGCTCTTTAACCTGCTCTGTTTCTTAATAGGAGGCAACCCGGACTCCTGGCTTGAGAACTTCCAAATGGACCATGTAAACCCAAGAACAAAAAAGCGGAAAAACAAAACCCGAAGAGGCACTGGAGGCCCTGTCTCAGTTCCACAGCAGTGCCTGTCCACTGCTCTCAAGACAGTGTTCACGACAAAGGGACTACAGACTCATTTGTTCGGATACTTTCTTGGTTCCTCTACAGATTAATGAGAGACACTGTGAGGTACCTTCCCTGCCCATGCCTCCCCCCGACCCCCACCACAAACCCCAGGCTGGGACGGCTATTGACACTTGTAACCAGACCATAATAATTCAAGGAAACAACAGAAGAAACTAGCCCATGAGGAGAAAATGACCAAATGCCATAAGAAGGCTAAGTCAATTTAACAATTTAGTTAAATCGGTGTTTTCTCATAATGTAATAGTTTCCTTTTTCCCCCCCAGTTTCCTTCCTCAGAACACACACAGACACACGCACACACACTGACTCAGCCATGCTCTGAGCATGTAAGAGTCTTCAGGTAGCTGAACACGAGCTGATACTTACAGGATCCACACCAGGCTCTTATGCAGTTCAGGGTCCACGGACTCAAGGTCAGACAGCTGGATGGGCTTCCCCAGTAACTGCTTGTAGAAGGGAACCGTGAAGCCTCCATTTATGTAGTGTCCGTGGAACACAGCCAGACCCATGATCCGACCCACGAAGTGGAAGTAAGACAGATGGTCCTGTAGAGGGCAGCAGAGAACATTAGTTCACTGGCTTCCGGCGGGGTGTCCTGTGAGCTGCAGCACTGACTCAGTTGCTTACAGGTTACGCTATTGGCCTAATGAAATAAGGTTGCTTAGGGAACAGAAATTTAGAGCACGTCTTTCATGTGGATTAGCAAGATGTTTTACATGTTCACGCCTCACACTTCTTCCTCAGAATTGCCAGATAATTTCCAGGGGTCCCAGGACAAAATGAAAACACAGAGACCCTTTTTTAGAAACTGAGAATTTCAACCTGATGACTGCTAAGAAACAAGCCAAGCACAAGGTCCTGTGCACAAACTCTGCCTTTCCTTCCCACTCTATCCAAAAGGAAAGAGCCACGGACAATCCTTGCCTCTCTGCTAGGTTCCCACTCTGATACTGGAACACAGAGGGAGTATGAATGAGCCGAGTGAAAAGTAAAAGGATGCTGGAGTGCAGCTCTGTGGCAAAGCACTTGCCAAGCAACTCATGAGGCCTTGGGTTCTACCCCAGCACCACCAAAACAGTAAGAGAAGAGTAACAGAACCATTCTAAAACCAGGGCTGGGCCGTTCCCATCTTTAACTAGGAAACCTCACATTTCAACTTCCAGGTTTACATTACAACCAGCTTGGAAAATCTGTAAAAACTTCACTTCCACATTAACTGAAGGCTTTTCCACATCTGAATGCTCCCACCTTGGTGGCCTTGTGACTGAGCTTCCAAAGGATGTGACCCCACAGGACTCATGGCCCCGTCACACACCTGTGTCTCAAACAGTGTGTACGCAAAAATGTCAGCTTGTGTGGCTACAAAGGCTGGTGATGGCAATATGCACAGCAGGAGACTAGGCTCTGTAATCCACTTCTCAGAATGAAACTCAACAAGCACAGCCACCAGACCACGTTCCCTCAGATGGCAGGGACGCAGGAGATGGGCAGCTCCACTTTCCTTACTCTGCTGGAAACACCACCTCCTGGGGTTTGCTTTCCAGGACTGTGCTTTCTGTGGTCTCTATATCTACAACAAATAAACCAAAACCCCAGAGTGACACTGGAAATGTACCTTGAAAACTCCCCAGCTAAACCTTATACATACTTACAGGGTTAATTGAAGAATCTGGGTTGATTTGCAACATGTAAATGTTGTCTGTGGAGTACTGGAAGAGTCCATAATATGGATTCAACATTTCATGGCATAACAAATACAGCCACTCCCTAGGAACAACAACAACAAAGGTCACATGTGCTAAGAGTTCTGTGTCTAGATCTTCACAGAAGGACCATTTTGCTGTTGCCTTAGGAGGCCAAAGACATACGACAGGAAAGGAGTGAACAGACAGGACACCTGCCCTGGAGAGCATGATGCATACAGAGGGGGCCAACAACCAGGTGAAACGCAGAGTCCAGACAGCATCTAGAACCGCTTGTGAACAGCCAGCTATCACCCCTCCCCATAAAGTGACCATGGCCCCAACAACCCTGCAGTTAACGAAAACTGACAAATGACCTGCATTCTCTGAAGATCATTTGCTAGTCCTGTTGCCTCTCACCTGAGGTTGCCTCAAAACCTGGCAAAGTCCAAAACCTCAGGATGAGCCAAAACCTGTGGATGAGGTGACAGTAACCAACAAAAGTGCCTCCTCTTGAACAGCAGGCAACTTCACTATTAGAATTCTGGGTTACTTTCATTTATTTCTGGTTTTAAAATTTTCTAAAATAAAATGTTTCATTATAAAGAATATATTTCAAATTCTAGAGAAGCAGAGGAGGACTGCTTAACAATCACTTTTGCTCTTTGTAGTTTTCTGCTCAGTTCTTTATTTTTTATTATACACATTTATCACTTCTGTCATTTAAAAAAACTAGTTTAAGTCAGGCATGGTGGGGCATGCTTGGAATCTCAGCAGGAGAATACTAAGCAGGAGAATCTGAACGTGAAGCCCACACTGGGACATCTTAGCAAGATCCCTATCTAAAATAAACTAAAAACAGCGGAGGATGTAGCTTAGCATGAAAATCCATGGTTCAGTTCCCAGCACCACAGAACAAAAGCAAATAAAAATAAAACTAGTTTAAAATTTTAAAATATTAATTCTAAGAGTTTATACCTCTGGAGGAGATACCAGATGTATGATTTTATGAATTTCTTTATTGTTTGCATCATTTTTATTATTTCCTTAAAAACTTCTAAATCAAAATCAGCCAAACAAAAAGGAAGCACGTCAGATAGAAATAGTATGATTCATCTGTGTGCTTGTCTGGGGTGGGGTCGGAGGTTCCTGGCAAACTGCTTTGGTGAGCCTTCCATCCTCTTACTCAAAACTTCTTCAAAATATGTACAACTCAGGACAGGAACAGTAGCATCAGGTTTTATTCTGGAATTTCCTACTCTGTTAAACAGCAATGAACATAACGGGAGATGTTATGGCTTGTATCTAGATGTCCCTCAAAACCTCATGCACTCAAAGGTGGGGTTTTTCAGAGCTGGCTGGTTCTAAGATGTGATGCTGGAATTAAGGGTGCCCTATGCTGGGTGTGGGTGGCATCTCCAAAGAGTGGGTAGCCTGGATGGAATAAAAGGGACAGAAAGAAGGCTGGCTGACGCTAGGGCTGCTTCTGCACTGCCTCCTGCCTGCTCTGTTTCTCCTCTGCAATGTCCTACTGCCACACCACCCTGCCTTAGAGCCCACCAGTCATGGACTGAAATCTCTACAAACTGTTAGCCAAAATAAACCTTTCCAGCTAGGTGTGATGGTGCATACCTATAATCCCAGCACTTGAGAGGCTGAGGCAGATGAATTGCTGCGAGGTTGAGGCCAGACTAGGCTACAAAGTGAGTTCAAAGCCAGGCTGAACTGCACAGTGAAACCCTGTCTCAAAAAGACCAAAAATAAATAAACAAACAAACAAACCTTCCCTCCTTTAAGTTCAGCTGTTGAATAGTTTGTCTTAGCAATGCGAAAAGTAACCAAAGTAGGAGGATAAGCAAAATAAAAGTGATTTAAGATCTAAGAATATTGGAAAATACACCAAGATTGATTAGACTAAAATGGTCTAACCAAAATATGGCAGAGGTATAAGGCTCTCTTACCTTGACTTCCCAAGACTGGGCCACTACTATAACTAATTGTCAGAGGACCATGCTCCTCTGTAGCACCTACTGGAGTTGTGGGTTTAAATTTACTTTGCATAATTCTTTGATTAGTATCTGAGCTCATCAGACTGGCAAGTCTACTGCCTGAGGTAGGAGGGTCTACCAGAAGAGAATGTGTTGTTTGACTATCGTATTCCTAGGACCATATGATCTGGTAGTTTTGTTTTGTGCAGTACTAGAGATTGAACCAGCATTAGAGATTGAACCAGAGTCCCACACTGTGCTAGGTTCTTAACCCTTTTTATTTTTTTGAGTCAGAGTCTCACTGAGTTGCCTGGGCTGAGAATGAACTTGTGATCTTCTTGCCTCAGACACCCAGGTGTATGCTACCATGCCCAGCTGACTTAGTAGTGCTGAAGGTTAGTGAATAAATACAATTCCTTACAGGGACATACAAATTACAGGAGCACTCTCCTGTGAGAAGATACAATCACGTAATAGACACATTAGTTTACCTTAGTTCTTTCACTGTTGTTTTTAAACACAGGGTCTACCAGAGTGCTGAGATTACAGACATATGCCCACCCAGCTGTTCTTTCATTTTATATTTTACTACAATGGAATTCAATAAATGAGTTTGTTATGGTGATTTATGATACAAAACTAAAATTTTTTTTTGAAACACTGAAAATCTTATAGAAAACGGGAGGGGGGAAAAAGAGAGGGGAAAGTAAGAGAGAGAGAGACAGACAGACAGGCAAACAGACAGAGTATCCAATATTTGAGTCACAGGAATTTCAGAAAGACCAAAGAAAGACATGGAGAGGAAATAGCAGGAAAAACCTTCCTTTGGCAGACAATATGAAGATGAGCCCTCACTGTGTACAAGGTGCTGTCCAAGAAGCTATGGGTGTGAGCGAAATAAACTGCCTACTCATTGAGGCAATTTATGTCAGTTAGGAGACACAGGCAAAAAGAGGAAAAATCACATAACACAACCTGTTACAAAAGGACTAATCCAAGAAAGAGGGTACTCGGGACCCACAGGAACTGTGGCTCAGGCCAGTGCTGGCTTCCGACAATCATTGGGCAGAAGGACTAGACAAGCACTTGAGGACAAAGGCGCCATGAAGGAGCCACAGGTCAGAAAGGTTCAGGGAAAGGGATGTCAGGAGAGTCAATGCGGCCAGGCATGGGGGCACATGCTTCTAATCACAGCACTCTGGAAGGCTGAGGCAGAAGAATCACAAGTTTGAGCCCAGACTAGGCAATTTAGCAATCTACTCTATTTTTAAATTATTTGCTGAAATTATTTTGATCAAAATTGCAAAACTGTATTTTACACAATTTCTTAGATACAAATGTAATTTATATATCCTCTCTCCTTCCTGGCTAGAGATCCCACAATGGGAAAGGCCAGGCCACCTGTCTGCTTCAAGAGCAAGTCTTTTGTGTTGCAGGTTCAGGCATATGAGATAAAGGAATGAGTTTCAAAGTTTAATTCTAGCTACACAAGGAAACACAGCTGGGCATGGTGGCAAATCCATGATCCTAGTTCTCTGGGAGTCTGAGGCAGGAAGTTTGAGCTCAGCCTGGGTAACTTGGAGAGATCCTGTCTCAAAAAGAGGAGTGGGGGAAAGAGCTCAGTACAAAGGTCCTGGGTTCAATCCCCAGTTCAGAAAAGGGGGGAAAAAATGAAAGAAAGAAAAGAAAAGGCACAGTGACAGTCACCCTTGTGTTCATGGTTACACAGCAAGACAAAAGCAAAAGCCAGTATATAGCATTCTCACTGCCCAAAGTGACACTGCCCGGGGAGCAGCACACAGGAAGCAAGGGCACACAGCTCCCTCTGCTAACACTGCCACCGCCATGCTAAATCCACACAGCACAAAGAGCACATGGCTCCTCACCGTGCGACGCCGCCGTAGTCCAGACCCTCCTCTCCTCGGAATTTCACCATCAGCCGCTTCTTCAGGTCTTTCGGTCGCATCTTCATGATCTGACGGTAAGACTCCTACATACCAAAATGACACCATCACAGACAAGGGTGTTTCTTAAATTTACAAAAAAATTAAAGGCTACTGATAATAGACTGATTAAAAATAAGCATTCATTCAAATACATATTTCATCTGGCTCCCACTCCATCTTGACCCCTGCATCTAATACATTCCATTACATTTTTCCCTTATAACTTTTGCTTCAGAGATAACAGCAAGACAGGTACAATCCAGGCCATGCTAATCTGCAAGGAAATGTGCATTTAGCACGATCACTAAGGACTTAAGGAAACATGTCCTCATTACTAGTTGATTTTCTCTTATAAATTAACTTTAATGTGCCCCCAAAACAATGTTTTAACCAAAGTAAAGAAATCATTAGCGTCTTAGTGTTTCAAGAATTCTGAGCCTGTTATAACAGGTAAACTAAAAAATCACAACTGATTTCCCACTGAGTCAAAAAATGGTCTAAGTAAGACATCAAGTAGCTTGGACCGAGCACAGGAAGCAGGTTGGCCAGGCTGGCATCCCTCAGACTCAGCATTCCAGGTGGCACTAGTTGTTTGTAGTTATTTTCAGTGATGGGACACTGGAGAATCTTTTCATATTTCACAGTTAATGCAGTTCAAATTCTCATCCCAGGAGAGAATGGGGACACTATGGATCTGATCTGGCAGCAACAGTTCAAGTCTTTTCCATTTCTGCAACTATTAAAGACTGCTCTGTGGGTGAAACCAGCCACTGCAGATACTCTGTCTCTCCAGCGTTACTGTGCCCAAATGGTCAGAGTTGACTCTGTCTGTGCCCTTCGGTGGAGAAGGAGTCAGCATTCTGTGTGGTGGCTTGCCCTCGAGAACCATCCTCAGGTGCCACAGCTATTTTCTTCCGAGGCATACCTTTGCTACTATTGGTTTTTTCCCCTCCAAGTAGAAGACATTGAACCCAAGATCTCTGCACTGAGCTACATCCCCAACCCTTTTTATGTTTTAATTTTGAGACAGGGTCTTGCTAAGTCACTAACTTGCCCAGGCTAGGCTTGAACCTGCAATCTCCCTGGTCACTTCCAAGAGGATTGGGGTTATAGATATACACTCCCACACTCAGCCTCATTTACACCTTCTGTAAATGTCTCCATATAAGAGGGTGGGAGGTGGCCCAAAGACCTCTGAGCTGTTACCTGGCCATCATTTTTCTTTAGCAAAGGACCTAGTCTATGCAGAGACCCAGAATCTGTGGGGTAGCTGCATTAGGGTTTGAGACCTACCAGGATCTTCTCTCTCTGCTCCCAGCAGAGACCACAGCCTATGTAGTCACTGGCTTCCTGAGAAGAAAATGCCTTTGATGGAATCCCATGCAGATGTCTCCCTTGTCTCCCCAAAGGAAGGAGACACTGGTCTGAGGAACATTCAATCTGCATAAGGCAGGGACAGTACCATTTGCTGTCCAAATCTTTAGGTTTTCATCTCAGACACTGTCTAGTTTTTCAACCTGGCACAAGAAGAAATACAGTTCCTTGTCTCTACCTGGGCCTTGGTCCTGATAAATCTGCATTTCTCAGTCATCAAGTCCACACTAGAAATAGCCATCAACACTTGCAATGGGCATGGATCACCAGAGAAAGACACACCCCCCAGGGCAGGGTGCTTAACAACAAAGGAGCCCACAGTCACACTAGAGCTGACACGTTTATACCTCGAATATTTCTTCTCTGGAAACCTCGATGCGGCAATGCCCGGCCTGGGGCTGCTGAAGTGACAGTTCATGTCTGAGGACTTTCAGTTTCTGAACCAAATCTCTTTCATATCTCTGGGCAGGAAGCTCTTCATCTTCCACAGAGCCTTCACTGGGCAGGGGCAGCGGTTGGCTGGGCTCCTTGAGTTGGCACTGGTGACTAGTGAAAAGGAGAAACAGCCAAGTCACTCTGCAAGCACAGACCAAAGAATTGCAGGGAGAGCTGCTTATGACAGTGGCTCAGAAAAAAGCTCAGTCTCTGCCCCCATAACCACACCTAGACAGGTAACAGTTATTGACAGCAGCCATCAGCCTAGATACAGGTCTAGGGTATTATAAGAGAGCTCCAATTCCATCCAGCTACCTGTCTCATATATTATTATTACAAATAAAATGGAAGTTGCTATATAACTGAGCATCTATCACGCACCGATGAGACTGAATGCATACTATGAGATGTGCATTGGTGGTTATAATAAAATGAAGTTGATGGAAAATCTTTTCTTCCATAGTGGAAGGAGGTGATATATTAGAGCCAACACTTTGGGCTGGGGATTTAGCTTAGCGGCGTAAGTGCCTGCTTTGGAGGTGCACGGTTGTGAGTTCGGTCACTGGTACCAATTAAAAAAAATATATATATATATATATAGAGAGAGAGAGAGCCAACACTTTGAGTCAAATCTGGTGCTGACCATTTCTTGTTCTGGTCACCAAGAGACTCCTAAGTCACTCATTAAATGCAAAACATCACTACAATAAAAGGACTAGGACCAGTACAAGGATAAAGTGGCATTTGGCTTGCTCAAGTTTGCCATTAATGTCAGCTGCCACTCAGAACGGCTGCATGTGGGATGTTTCAACCTGGGAACACAAACCAAGAACATGGGTCATAGGTGTGAAGAGTTCCGGGCTACTCTAAGGAATGATGATGGCAGAGGGCACCGGCAGGCCCCTTTAGGGCCAGCGATGCTCACAGGAAAAGCCACATCTGTGTGTACACTGCTGTGTGCAGAAGCCTCATTAATGAAGCTGCTTCATACTTCATCAGGTGACTTTAATTTACAATGCAAGTACAGAAAAGGGCAGCAACAACTTCCAGCCTCAGTAATGTTCATATTAATTGAAGAGTTTAAACATGTATTTGTCTGCCACATACATAGTTTGTTTTGCACATGCTTACTAGCCAATACACAAATCAATAAATGAAGTAGGAAAAATATTAGTACAAGAAAACATTCAGGAAAAAAATTAAATGGAGGAGGTCAACAAAGATTTTTTTCAAAGACTTACTTCATGATATGATGTAACCTTGGGTCTGTAAACTGGGTTGTTCGGTTATTATGGTCTACAAAATATATTCTCCCAGAAACTGTACTTCGGACTTCCCAACCTGGTGGCAGTGGTCCAAGTTCATCGCAGTTCACACTGTTAAGGTCTCTACCAAAATGGAAGGTAAGGGAGGTTTATTCAACTGAGTTCTCAGAGCCACAGGGGACTCTATCAAAACATCTGTGTCCCCACGCTGCTGAGAGGGAAAGTCAGGGTGCTACTTACACCAAACCCCAGTGAGGCCAGGCCTCTGTGCCGCAAATGGCAGCAACACCCCATAGATCACAATGGAACTTCCTGAGCTGGTAGCCACCCTAAGCACAAGGCCTGTACCTAGACAGCTTTTCTTACAGGAAAGAGGGCAGGATTCCAGCGAGCATCGGAATGCTGGGGGAGCTATCTGAATGCACAAGTCAAATTAAACTCTCAAGATGAGAATGGTTTCTTTAATGAAAAGTTCCCAGAAGGCCCCAAGTTTTCAAGGCTAAGGGGAACATGTAACATGCATTTGAAAACTCGCCATCCTGAACAGCTGCAGGAGGATGAGGCCTTTTCTTCATCAAGCTGGCTTCTGCTAAGCGTTTTCACTTCTGGATTCTTGACTAATTACTTCAATACAGCATCACTGACCAGGATGCTTTCACAGCTATTACAAGAGCTTGTCATTTCTTACAGTGGGTACTATAGAGACACCTCATTCATTTTCAGGTAATATTTCCATTCTAATTATAGATACTGAATCATAAATTCAATATAGACTTGGAAAAAAATCAAATACAGGAAGCTTATTCTCAAGTGAAACAAATTATGAATAAAAAGGAAATGAGCATTACTAAAAATCTTATTAGGTAGTAATGCTATTCTTAAAAAAGTAAAAAGAAAAGAAAGCAAAGAAAAAGGTAAAAAAGAAACTTAATTCTGGTATAGGGTGGGGTGGGGGTCTCTCTGACCTGGGCTCAGATGTATGGCCTTGTAGAAGGTATTCGTATAGAAAAGCTTCATCTCCCCCCGGAATGGTCCCCAAGGGACTGAGGCAAGAGGGACAGTAAAGTAGAAGAGAGAAAGGGTAACAGAGTCTTTATATTTCCTTTTTAACTTATTATTATGGAAAATTTTAAGCACATAAAAAAAGTAGAGAGAGACCACAGTGAATTGCTCCACAACAAACTTTGCTCATGGTCATCCTATCTCAAATACATCCCACCTGCCCCCACCCCAACATATCTGAAGCAGATCCCAGACTTTGTTTCATTTCCTTCATCAGTACTTGCAGTTTAATCTGGGAGCAACACATTTGGGAGAGGCTGGCTTTTCACGCCAACTGCTAGAGACCAGCTTTGAGGGTATTTCAAGCATACCTGGGTATCCGGGGATCATGCCATGTGCTCACTCCAGTCTGTGTGTGCAAAAAGTAAACTTGCCCCTGTACTGTTGTTCTCTGTTCTGCACAAGAAATTAAAGGATACAGTTAGACAAGCTCAGTGTCATGGGGGATTTGATCCAGTCCTCTAGCGATCCTTCCATAGACTCTAAGCTTCCTATCAACACCAACACTGCCCCTCTTAAAGAGCTGGGATTTACACCTCAGCACCCTAACATCCTGGAGAGAAGAGCTGGAAAGTGCTGCCATTAGCTTCTACCTGGCTTCCTCAAGAACAGCCTTGCCTCTATTTGGACAGATGTCCCTTTGTCCCATGCCCTTTCTGAGTGGGAAGAGATACCCAAGTGCATAGCACTTTAAGATCCACCTGACTGATCCATCCCCTACTGCTCTCATTTTAGGGTTATCTGCTCTTCTCTCTGTAGTGATCGAGTGGCCCCTTCTTTGTGCCCTAACCCCTTGCTGTTCCCACATTCAAGTGACAGGCCACTACACGTTCCCTTGCCTACTTACTAACCCTTCACCTGGGTTCTCTCTGGTGTTAAAGTGCCTAAAGTCAACTTTCTACACCACTTCTAAACTGAGAAGTTGGTGTAATTCCTGATGATTCATAACCAGCCAAGTTTGTCAGCACCTCTTCCAGGCACTCATATTTACACAGCCACATGGACACTGGTAGTGAGGATAGGTGCAAGTGACGACACAGCATTTACCAACCCAGAGCTCCCAGGAACCGTGCTGCTCACCGTAGCCTTCAGGCAGCTCTGGTGACTGGTGGCCATGTGGTCGGTTCTGGGGCGTCTGCAGTGAACCTCGGACTTCAGAGTTCCGAAGTCGCTGTGCCTGGAGTCTCTGATCTTGACTTGGGGACTCCACAAACCTGCAGTTGCCCCCACCTGCAGCAGCGCCAGTGCTGTCCGTGTAAGGGGCAGGCTCCTCCATGAAGCAGCTAAGCGGCCTCCCAGGCCCCAGGTCTTCATACACGGATCTGCAGGAGCAGGGGTGAAGACAGCAGGTATGGGAGCCGTGGGACACACTTGAAACTTCGCACACCTGCCCACCCCTGTGCAGCTGCCACCTGTGTCCATTCTAGTGTAATGACCAAAAGTGTTCAGGTGCTTGGTTCTAAAAAGTTCATCTTATAATAATGAGAAACTCTTTCAAGAGGAACAGGTGGCCAGAGGGAGTCACGTTTTTAGTGCCATTCCAGTGCATCAGGGACAGGGCCACCGAAACAGCATCACTCCAGGTTAGAAAGGCAAGGCCTGTATACTACATGGAGTACATGAGATGCAATTTCATTTCTCTTAATTTAAATTCAAATCCATTTGCTTGTTATTCTACTCTCTAGAAGCCCTAATTAAGTAACACATCACACTACACTGAGTACTTTTAAAACATAAATCTTTACCATCTGAACAAGTTTGAAGACAATTTACTTTACTAGTGGTTTTCCTGTATCAGCAAACATTCTTTTAAAGCTTCTTATGTATTTAGGGATATATAATGCATCTGGGAATGTATTTGGGAATTTCCAAATACACTCACAAATTTAAGAGACCAGAACAATGACTCTCCCTTGCTGGCTGCTCTCCAGCCCTCCACTGGGCTGTTCTGAAAACAATCCCAACACGGCATCACTTCGTCCCTCGACACTGCAGCATATATGTCTAAAAAATAAGGACTGTTTCCCACTGTCAGAACTAAAAGTATATGAATTTTGAAAAAAAAAAATCATCAATTGTCGGAGTTTAAATTTCTCCAATTATCTCATAAACCAGGATCCAAAGTCTACACGTTGCATTTAGTAGATTCAGTAGCCCTGTCTCTCAGGCCTATTTCATTGTTAGTTTATAGAGTTTTTCTTTCCTTCCTTTTTATTTCTTGTATTATTTGAAAACATAGGGTTGTCTGCCCTTATAATATCCTGTACAGGATGTTGCTTATCACATTCTGTTGGGGCAAGGTGACACACTCTTCCTCCTCCCTAACTGCCAAGATATTTAAGCCCAGTGGCCCACTAAGTTGCCCAGGTTGAGCTGGAACTTGTGCTTCCCCTGCCTCACAGTGCTGGAATTTACAGGTATGCCCCACTAGGCTTGGGTGTGAGCAATTATGATCACTGCCCAGGTTGCTTAATTGATGGGAGGCTGCAAAATTTCAACAGAGACCAGTGAGGTCTTGAATTTTTTTTCAAATTTTTACTAGTACATATTCGTAGTACATAATGATTAAATTCATCATGTGGAGGAAGTGTTGGGTTTTTTTTTTTTTTTTTTTTTTTTTGATCTTTTTTAAACAAGGTTTCATTATGTAGTGCAGACTGGCCTCGAACTCAGCAGTGATCCTCCTGCCCCAGCATGTGCCAACACCTGGCCTGAATGTTTTGTTTTCTTTTTAGTGTTTTAGGGTTTTTTATTCCCTTAGTTTGAACTCATGGATTTTAAATATATTTGATACATTTCAACTCACTGCAGTTGTAATTCTGTGATCCTCAAACTGTCTTGTGAGGCCTATTGGAGTCTTCCTCAGTTGGGTCTTGAGTCTTTTATGCACAGCTTACTTTAGAAACATTGGAGCACATTTTATCCCAAAATCTCGAACTGCATCTCAAGTGCCCATCAGAGAGATGTAGGTAGGAAGGTTACCTATAGCTCAAAATAGTTGAGCACTGTGCTTGCAAAGTCCTGGCATACATACCCTTCATTTTCTAACAGTCCTCTGCAGTCCACCACTGACCCTCCAGGACCTATTCTGTCTCGTGTCTGTAAACTAACTAAAATGGAAAAGAAAAGCTTGTGTTAAAATCCAGAGGTATTTTATACATTGTAGTAAAGTGATCCATTGAAATTGTTTAATTTATGTATAGTATCATAAAAAGGCACACGCACACACACACACACACACACACACTTGCCCATCCTTCAATATGAAACGTTCACTTTAGTAGCTGTATATACCACATATCACTTATAACACCTTAAAAATGTGGCACAGAGGGGGCTGGGGATTTAGCTCAGCGGCATAAGCACCTGCCTTGCAAGCAGGCGGTCGTGAGTTCAATCCCCGGTACTGATAAAAATGAAAAAGACAAAAAAAAAAAAAAAAAATGTGGCACAGAAAGGGGGCTGTTTCTTATACTCCTCAGAAAGTAACACAATGCAACCGTCAGGACAGTAGGGTTGAGGGGATCTTTTGTATTGTTACTTGTTTTGAGACAAGGTCTCCCTAAGTTACCTGGGAAGGACTCAAACTTGAGATCCTCCTGCCTCAGCTTCTGGTAGAATAAGAAAGCATGACCACACCTAGCTAATGTTCAGGTCTTTTAAATTATCTTATAAGAAGTTTGTGACTTACGTTTAATAATGACAATGGGGCACTTTCAATATTGACAAAGTCTAGGCCAATCTAAATATTAATGCTCTAGCATAACGATGAACAACGAAAATATTTATAAAATTGTTTTCATTTTTTCTTCCCTAGCACATTCCTCCAAAAGTAAAAGAAAGCTCACAAAGAGAAAGGCAGTGAGAACTTTTTGGTTATGTCATCTTCAAGACATATTGAGCACTGTTCACCTGTCTTGGAGCAAGATTACCTACATTACCTAAGCAATCTGAGTCAGGAAATGACTTCTCTGTGCTCTTGTGACACCATTTCCTCTGATGCCTTGCAATGTATACTGTCAACATTTGTGTTACCCTAAAATACTGATAAAGAATGGGGTGGATAATAGGATGAGTAACTTAACAGGTAAAATCAGTTCCAAAGCCTCAGACAACACTATGTAACAGCAGTACTTTTAACTTTTCACTCTTCATAATCTAATCCTCTGACTCTATGCAGTCACAGGTGAGGCTTTTCACAGATACCTGGATCCAAAGAATGTGACTGATTCATAGTGCAATGCTAGGGTTAATGGTGGATAAACAGAAAGAGTCTTGCAGTTAATTACTTTTAGTCTTGTCCTTTGTCTGTGTTGCTACCTTCTGCCTGCCACAAACTGTTTCTTCTCTCTAATGCTCTTTTGTCAAACCATCTTGCCTTAGAGCTAGTCAAGTATGAACTGAAACCTCTACAAACTCTGAGCTAAATAAATCTTTTTTCCCTTAACTTGTGAGTACTGGATATTTTGTTTCAGGAATGAGAAAAGTAACTAAGACAATAAATTACATTATATGGAATTCATCAGAAATCATCTTTATTTTTTACATATACAAGACGACCTCTCAAAGAAAGTACATCCAAACTTTTGCATATGTGGCCATCATCATTATCTACCCTTGCGTAATACAGTAACAAATTAACTGTCCATTAATGTGATGATTAAAAAGACATTTGAAATCATACCCCTAAGTCTTTCTGCACCAGTGTCGTATTAACTCAACTTTAAATGTTAGGATGAAGAGAACTAGATAAAATAAAAAAAACTATCCACAAGGCCAGGGATTTAGCTCAGTGGCATAAGTGCCTGCCTAGCAAGCAGAAGGTCATGTTTGATCCTCAGAACCAAAAACAAACAAGCAAAAAACTACACACAAGAAACCATTTAGTAATGCAGCCTGTCCTTTGAAGTATGCCATACTGTTGCTGCCTATATAAGTTCTCATAAATTCTGTAAAAGCATCCTTTATACAGATCAGAAAGTCCTTACCTACTACTTGGCCACGAACTGCATCAGTATCTGAGGGATTTAGTTTGCATAGATCCAAACGCTGGTCTGCAAACAAACAATTCAAAACTTAATCCAAGGAAAGAAGGCAGGAATTCTGTATTCAACATCAAAAAAAAAAAAAAAAAAAGGTGCATTCTAAACTTTTTTTGGCGGCATTAAGAAGCAGAGGAGAGGGTCAAGGACTTAGCTCAGTGGTTCAAATGCTTGCCTGGTAGGTGCAAGGTCATGAGTTTGATCCCGACTACCAAAAAAAAAAAAAAGAAGAAGCAGAGGAGCATTTGGTTCTTACAGCCAGTGTCTTTTAGCCGGCTGATGGCATTGGAGAGCAGCCGCACGCAGCCCAGGAAGCCAGCTCCCTGCTTCTTGTGAATTTTCTTATGGTTCCACACGCTGATGGTTATAGAATCAGTTTTCCCAACATATCTGAAAGAAACAGCAAACTCTTGGGTAACTGTGTTTCTAAATTATGATAATCTCATTATAGTCTCATTTATCACACTGACTTAGGAATCCTTACAAAATAATGTTGGCTCAGTATTCCACATAGAAAGGATATTCAATAAACACATACCTAATTACTATCCTCTGGCAGTATTAGAATACAGTAAGCTAAACAAGGAGAAATGGAAATAGTCACATGATAATAAAAGATCTGTGACCAAGGTTTATTGTATTCTAACACTGCCATAGGATGGTGATATATGTGTACAGCCCCATCAATAAGGTTTAACGGCAGGGCTAAAGATGGCAGATCAATAAACAGCAAAACACAGAGCCTCCCTGAGAGAAACAAGTCAGATGCTGGAGAGGACCTCCTGGAGAGGACCAGACAGAGGAAGGTGGATCCTCTTGACCTAGGAAGGAACTAAAGGGAAAAGAGCTGGTCAAATGTGCAGTCGCAGGGCTACCATCAGAGCGGCTGAGATTTGAGGCCATGGCACTCTCCACTGGAGCTGCCCAAACTCACAGTCACAGTGCACTCGCAGCCGGAGCCCTGGTGAGTGCTGAAGTTGGGGGTCGGTGAGCCCAATGGAGAACAGAGCTGGTGTGAAGACCTGCACTAACCCATGGTGAGCGCTTGGAATAAGACCCTCCCATGGGAAAGGGGCGACCAACAGGACAACGTGTTGGAATCAGGCAGAATAGGCATGAACAAGGAATGGCAATGATTTCAATTAGTTGCTCCCTACCCAGAGCAGATTGGTAGGATCTTCTTGGCTTGGGTTACATCCCTGGCCAGAACCCAATAAGTTGTCCTGAATGGATTCCGTACGTGTGGCACACACTAACAAGGTGAAGGCCCCTGCTGGTAGACTGGGCTCCGGAGCGCAACTGCCTGCACTTCAATGACCAACAGCAACCTGGAGAGGGCAGAAATCCCTAGCCAACACGCTTCAGAAGAACCATAACCAACAAGGAAAGGGGATGGGACCTCCACTATAAACCTGAATGGAAGAAAGCAAAAACATGACAAGAGAAAGAAATAAGAAAAAGTCCCTAGCCCCCAACTCTGTGAATATTGATCCAGGAGAGGTAAATACAGAAGAGATTGAGGGCAGTAAACATGCAATATCAGACACAGCATCAGTGGACATAAGGAGATATCTTCATGACACCATAGATGAGCTCAAAACAAATATATTTTTTTTTCATTTTCTTTTTTTGTCTTTTTCGTTTTTATTGGTACCAAGGATCGAACTCACGACTGCCTGCTTGCAAGGCAGGTGCTTATGCCACTGAGCTAAATCCCCAGCCCCCAAAACTGAAATATTAATTCAAGTAAAGCATGATATAAGATGATTAATAAAAGAAATGCTAAGCACCTCTCAAGAAGACACAGATGGAAAAATGGAGGAACACAAAAAAATGAGAGAAACATTCAATGAAGAATATAAAGAAAACCTAGAATACATGAAACAGATTCAAAGAGATTACCAGGAAATTAAAAACTTCATTGAAAGCTGGAAAAATTGCCTGACAGAAACTAGAGATAGATTAACAAAACTTGAAGATAGGTTTGCAATGCCTGATCATGAAAGGAAAGATCTCTTAAAAATAACAAGAAGCAGATAGTAACAATACAAAGGCTAGAAGATGACAACAGGATCTATAATTTAAGAATAAAAAATGTGAGTGAAGAAGCAAGGGTAAATACAAATGAAATACAAAGGCTATTCACAGAAATAATTAAGGAAAACCTCCCAAGCATAGGAAAAAGAAATGATATACAGATAAATGAGGCATACAGAACTCCAGTCAGCTGCAACCAAAACAGATCTACACCCAGACATATAATAATCAAGATCCCAGAAATTCATCACAACAACAGAATATTAAAAGCTGTCAGAGAAAAGAAACAGATCACCTATAAAGGAAAACCCACCAAAATCACGGCAGACTTCTCAACACAAACCATCAAATCAAGAAGCTGGAGCAAAGTATTCCAGGCCCTGAAAGAAAATAACCTCCAACCCAGATTGATGTACCCTGAAAAACTGTCTCTCAAAATTAAGGGAGAAACAAGAGCCTTCCATGACAAAGAGGAACTGGGGGAATTCATGACCACCAATCCAACCTTACAAAAAATACTGAAGGACATTCTAGAGAGAGAGAGATTAAAAATACCAGGATTTTAGGAACAGTGGCAGAGAGGCCTCAATGAATGGGGCAGATAGTGGAATGAAGGAGAAAAGTAGACAACCAATGGCAGAAAAATAGCATACCAGAGATGAGGCAGAAACAGTTGGCTATAATCTCTAACATTGATGGCCTTGATACATTAAAAAGAAACACAGGCAGAGTAGATCAGGAAGTAGGGTCCACCAAGATGCTCTGTATAGGAAATATAATTAACCCGAAAGAGGGTTTATGGACCAAAAATCAAGTATGAGAAAACAATACTCTAAGTGACAGGGAACCAGAAAGAAATAGGGGCAACTCAACCAGCACCTGCAGATAGATTGGAAAGACATAATACTTTTGTGCAGTAAAGAACTATTCAGCCAGCTATAACAAAGGAAAACTTTGAGGCTTTTGTGGGTAAAGAATACAACTTGAGATCAAATCCAGGAGTTAGAAGGTTCAGGTTGCCCCCTCAATCTAAAAACTGAGGGAGTTTGTGGGACCCAAAATATGCAGTGCACCCTGTGGGAGTGAAAGGGGAAGAATTATCTAAAAAAGGAAGGCAGAGGATATTGTTAATAGTGTATCGGCATTTAAAGTCCACATTACTCTTACTGCTGTTTAGATGGGTTATATTCTGTTCCAGTTTGTCAACTTGTACTAGATTTGAGGGCACAGACAGCTATCCTGAAAATAACAGGATATAGTACGGTAATCATCCTTAATTTCCTGTTAACTTAATCTGAAGCCCTGTATAATTTACACTATCTTATTATGACTGATCTTATTTAAATCTGGTTTGTTAGATTGCTGTTCTGTATTGACTGATTTTATTCGAATCTGTTATGATTGATAGTATCAAGTCTGAGAGTATAGGTTACTACACTGAAGATGACAAGATTCTCTAGGATACCCACTCTGGTTTGATTATTACCTGCTTTTGAAGTCTTATAATGTCTCCAATGTTTTATTTTTATTAATATTATTATGTACTGCTATATTCAATTATACTATGCCTGATGATACAGACAATTCTACTGAAGATAAACAAGAAACATGATAGTAACCATTGAAGATCACCTTGTATTGCGTTTTATATGACTGTTTCATTTCATGTTTTGTTTTATTTTTCCCTTTAATACAGAAAGGACAGATATACATGTAGAGACTCATGCATGCATAGAACTTATAGTTTATGAGAACTGATTATATAACGCATGATGAAATGAACAACTACTTTGAAGAAAAAGAGACACTGTAATACCCAGTGCTGATTCCATAGTGTCATGATGTGAAATCCAGCAATACTATTATTCTTTGTTCAGAGTGATTTTAGTCTGTTTTAATTTCAACATACGTGAAGGTATGGACAACTATTCTGAAGAGAATGAGACACTACGGCAGCCATTGTTGACTTCCCAAATGTCTGATCTTGAAGACCTAAAATGTTTTCATCATCCTGTTCAGATCAGTTTTATACTGTGTTGTTTTGTATGAATTCACTGTATGTGAAGATATGGCCAACTATTTGGAGAAAACAAGAGACAATATGATAGATGGTGAAGATCTCCGATTGTCTTGCTTTAAAATTTATGTCTCTTACATAAATTGCTTTCTTATGTTCTGTTTTGTTGTGTTTAATTTTACCCTCTTTAAAATTAAAAAAAAAAGATTTAACAATTAAGAATACTAGCTTACAATAAGGGACTCCACAGAGCCATCCAAAGCACATAAAAGTGCATTCACTCTCTCTGTAAGTGAACCATGGTAAGGGACTTTCAGGACATGAAATGGCCACTACTTTCACAGCCATTTCTAGACCCTCAATGGAACTAAAACTAAACTGTAGAATATAGCTACTACTAAATATCCCACTATGCTTGTACCTAGTATAGTTTATTTTAATAACAAAAAAAAAAAACAATATTCATTTGGTATTACTCTGATGGAAATTTCTTACCAGGGACATGAAAAAAGGAGGTTACATAAAATAGTGATCTTTAAAGTGCATTGTAATCTGAATGAATATATGAAACTGTTGTGTAATTTGTGGGCTTATGTATGTTCAATCATACAAAACTGTAGTTTCTCCTGCAGAAAAAAAAATCTGTGTACTAAAAACCAAATTTCTAAAAATCAACAGAAATATGTGATCACCATAATACACTTTTCAGGTAAAAATTACAACTGGACTTAAGGTTTTACTAAAAAATGAAGTACATTGGGGACATGCACCATGCCTCATAGCCTTTTACTCTACTAAAATGTCCAAAGGATTGAAAAATCTGAGATCACAGTTATACATGAAACCATAAAAAGGTATGAAAATGTCAAATGTAAGAACTTCCAACACATAACCTGTACAAGGAGGCAGTTTCGTATTTAGCTATCTACTTCTGTTTTCAATGAAAAGCTAGCAATTCTTTCGTTTCTTAAATGCTTCTTTTGAAAGCCAGACATCTGTATCTACTCTCCCAGTCTCCCTATATGGTTCACAGGACATCAACTCACAGATCATAGTGCTGATTCCATTTTGGGTCCAACGTGTTTTTCACAGTGTCTGTTGAGTGGCACTGCCCAGAGCCGTCCACAACAATCTTAGCAAAAGGGTCAGGAAGTCCTAGAAGAGAGAGAGCACAGCCACACCCAGATGAGCTGACAGGGAAGTCAAGGAGACAAAGACACAGCTTCCAGGATGGAGGAAACTGCAAGGTCATCTAGCATGGTGAGGAAGAGTCCCTGGGATATTTTATTCTGTGCTTTAAAGTTAATTTCATTTGGAAAAGCAAATTATCATTGGTCAACATTTTTTCCCTTTTGTACTGAAAACTGAATCCAGAGCCTTCATGCTGAGCTATATCCTGTTCTTCTTTGAGACAAGGTCTCACTAAGACACTAAATTGTTCAGGCTGGACTTGAACGTGCTTCAGCTAGGACCTATTACAGGTGTGTGGCATCATCCCTCGCCACTATTTAGCTTTCTAAAAGAGATTCCCACTATGCCTTTAGTCTCAAAGTTTTAGAAGATAGAAAACTTTATAAAAATAGGCTTATAATAAAAGGCTTGTGTCCAAATTTCTATCTGTGACTATTACTACTAAGTGAGGATAATTAAATGGAAAAAAAAAGGTGCTTGTAATTAGTGGTATTTATACTTTTGAAAAAGTAACAGTTCCTAGCAGTCTGCCAGGAATGGTGGCACATGTCTGTAATCTACTCTGGGAGCCCAAGACAAGAGAATCGTAAGTTCGAGCCCAGCCTGGATAACTTAATGAGACCTTGTCTCAAAATAAATAACAAATAAAAAGGGTTAGGAACATAGCTCAGTGCAAAGGCCCTGAGTTCACTCAGACAGACCTAAAGAAAGGAGTTCCCAGAAATCTTGTTTGCTGGCCTCTTTTAACTGTCTCACCTACAGAAGCAAGTATAGTATTCAACAAGTCTTAATTTAAGTCCTTACATGCAAGTATGAATCAGACAGATTTATAGATCCAGGCAGCGGGGAAGATGTGACAGTTTTACAGACAGAGCTGGATGTTAGCCACCCCTCCATTTGGATAGAGCCTTTGGGCCTAAGTTTCTTCATCATTAAGGTGATAATAATACGACTTAAGAGTTGAGCAGTGATCTTGGGAGGATCAGAAAGTGTGAAGAATTCAACACTGCAGACATCTTTATAGCAGGTGAAGTGCTTATGTTAAGAAGCAATTTTTTTTCTTCAGAAAAGGATTGTCCATTCAGGTTTATAATACCTTTAATTAGAGAGCTTTTAAGATGTGGTCTAATTTATAAAATTCGATTAACAACTTTTTTCAAACCAGTTGATTTATTGAAAAATGTTTCATTTGCATTTAAGTTGGAAATACTTCAGCAGCAGAAAGCTGTACTCTATACCAGAGACTAAGAAAATCAGAATGCAGCTGAAGAGGAGAATGAAAGACAAACTTGGATAGGATTTTAAAATTCTGTGCCTTTTAACTAGGAAGCTGCAATGCTGGGAAATAAAATTTCTCCAACCATGAATTTCTATTCCAAGATTTTCAAGAAAACACACCAGTGTTCTTTAGAAGCTTAACATTTCAAAAATACACAAATAATCTTAACAGACCAAAAATGGTTGTTTACTTACTGAAGAAGTCTTTCTTTGCAAGATTCTTGGCACATAATACTAAAAACAAACAAAAATATTAGAGTTAGTACTTATGGACAAGATTTCAGCATAGCTAGCTTGTATTTGCAATGGAAAAGAAAATTCCAAAAATTGTCTTTGCCAATGATTTGTCTTTCAAATTTAGTATCACACTGAATAAAAACTGGCAACTACATAAAAAATGTTTTCTCTGCAAAACTGGGAGTCAATTACAACAATTCTAAACTCTTTTAAACTTAAAATCTTAAACATAGAGATTTATCAATGTGCTCTTACACTATACAGGATCATATAAAACCAAATTTAAATGAAGATTTGAGCTATTTAGCTTTATAGCAACTAATAGCAAGCCCCCCAAAAGCTTTTTTTTTTTCTTTTCTGATAATAAAAACAAAGTGCTGGGGTCTTGTACATGCTAAGTGGAGCTCCACCCTGAGCTACACCTGGGCAATAACACAATTTTGTATGGGTAAATTCTGGTATACTAGGAGATAATACTAAAAAGGGAGAAAACAGTAAAAAAATATGGAGCCATTATCAGGGTACTGTGTAAGAAAAATAACAAAATGTCTATTAAGAATCTAGCACAAGCTGGGCATGGTAGTGTACACTCTAATCTCAGTATTCTAGGAGGCTGAGGCCAGGAAATTGCAAGACTGAGTCCAGAATGGGCAACTTAGACCTTATCTCGAAAAATTTAAAAAGGTAGTGAGGAAAAGGCCCTGGTTTTAATCCCTAGTTCCACCAAATAATCCATGAGTTAATCAAACTTGTCACCAGAACTGTTACACAATTAGTTTACTATCTCAATAGAAGATATACAATGTACTTTTCTCTTTTATACTTCACAAATTTACCTAACATAAGAATATAATGTTATAAATATTATTTTACAAAAATGTGCTGATACATTATTCTACAAATTTTCCACTTTGTTTTTACATAACAGCTTTTAAATATAATTTATATACCATATAATTCACCCATTTAAAGTGAATAATTCAATGATTTCTAGTTTACTTGTGGGGTTGAACAATTATTACCACAACCAATTTTAAAACACCTACCACCATTCCCAAAAGAAGTACCTCACCCACGAGCTCCTCAGTTAACCTCCAGCTCTCCAGTACTGGGCAACCTATCAGCTACTTTGTGTTGCTAAGGGTCTGCCTATTCTGAACATTGCATATGAACAGGATCGCGTGCTATGTGGTCTTTTCTGACTGGTTTCTTTCTCTCAGCATACTGCTCTCACCCACCACTTTGTCACATGAATCAGTGTGCCATTCCTTTTCACAACAGAATGCCCCTTGTGCGGCTATACCATATTCTCTTTTCCCATTCATCAGCAGATGGATATTGGGTTGTTTTTATTTCTTGGCTATTAAATAATCCTGTACAAGTGCTTTGGAAACATAGGTTTTATTTCTCATTATAAACCTGTGAGTAAAATTGCTTGGGGAGGGGGTACTCCGTAAGATAACTGTATATTCATATTTTAAGGATTTTCCAGACTGTTTTTCCACAGTTCAGCCTCATCTGGAATGATTCCTATTAACTGGAAATGAGGGCAGCAGTTGCTCCTCGTTCTTGTTACAGTCTCTGTGATTTTCTATCTCCGTGGTTTTGATTTGCACTTCTTTCAATGACTTAATACTTTGAGCCTCTTTTCTTTTTTTTTTTGAGCCTCTTTTCATGAGCTTATTAGTTACCAGTATATCTTCTTGGAAGAAGTTTTGTTTTGTTTTGTTTTGTTATTTTTCTCAATCTTTTTTTCAACTTCAAACTGAGTTGTCCTTTTGCTACTGAGTTGTGAGAATTCTTTATACTATAGAGTAGTCTAAAAGCTTTTACCAAGTACATTAGTTTCTTCTATGAGTTTTCTATTTACTTTCTTAATGGTGTCCTTTAAAGCACCAAAGTTTTACTTTTGATTAAGTCCAACTTACCTACTTTCTTTGGCTATTGGTGTCATATCTAAGGCACCTTTGCAGAACATTTTCTCTTGAGTTTAATAGTACAGAACTACACCATTATTGGTAATACGTAAAAAGTAGAAACAGTTCAAATGTTCATCAGCTATACCTTTCATTGGCTCTTAAGCATAAGTTTAGGTCTATGATACATTTTGAATTGGTTTTGTTTGCAATATTGAGAAATGAAACCTGGACCTCAAGCATGCTAGGCAAATGCTCTACCACTGAGCTACATTCTAGCACATTTTTTCAATTATATTTCAGACATTGTCTATGTTGCTGTACAGGAATTTACGATTCTCTAGCCTCAGCCTCCAAGTAGATGCTTGCTAGAGTGTTTGCCTAGCATGTGTGAGGCTCTGGATGGCATTTCACTACCACGAAAAGAAAAGATTTCATAAATAAATTCGAGGGAAATTTTTAAATCTCTCTCTCCAATATTGAGTATTCCCGTTCTTAAATGTAGTATGTTTATCCATGTCTTAAGTTCTTCATTAATGTCCATAAGTGATGCTGTAAAAGTATTTTTTAAAAGACTTAGACATTTCTGTTTGTGTTTACTCTTTCAATATGTGTTTGTTATTGTTGTGAACTTTTGTTGTATTTTCTAACTTATTTACATATAGGGAAATTCCTTATTTTTAATTAATCATCTTTTGGAACACCCCTCACATGACCTAGTACGCTTTGTTTCATTCAGATTCCTTCCCAAAGCTTTGAATGCCTGAATAGTGGTCATATCAAACGCGTACGTATTCAAAACTGAGTTTGAGATCTTCCCATCTAAGACCTGATCCTCTCCCAGGAATCATTAGTATACCAGCAGGCCCATCAACAGCACCACAGAGTCTTGGGGTCACACTTCACCCTCAAAATCATTCCCAAATGTGGAAAGATTGAAATCATAAAATGGAGAAGGTCTTAGAAATGTTAGCAAACAGAAAATTTTGCTCAATTTTCTACAGAGGTCAATTGGGGTAGTTGTGATTCTAATTTGGTTAAAGGCACCGGATTTTTCCAAAGAACATAATGTTATGATCTTGTGCTATAATTCTTTGTCTACTCTAGGTAGTTTAATGGCATAACGTAACTAACCTCTTACAGCATCAAATCTCACTGTTTCTCTACTGTACGCTCTTAAAAAGTTTATGCACCAATTGTATGAGGTTCTAGAGATATAACAGTAAGTAAAAGAAACTTTTACAGGAAACTAAGCTTATTTTCCAGCACAGACCACTCCTTGCTTCCCACAAACTCAACTCTGAGGTGTGCCTCACCCTGGCCAAGTCCCAGGCCTTGCATCCAGCACACTCCCAATCCCACACCAGGGCTTTCCTCACACTGGGGGTATGGTATGAGCCAATGACACTATGTTCCCTAAGCATCTGGAATCACGGAAGGGAAGTGCTCTACTCTCAAAAGACCCAAGGTCATATGAGCACATTCTGTGGTTTCACATACTCCCAAAAATGACTACAGCAACAGAAAATTAATCTTTTATTCTAGTGTGAGAAACGCTCAATTTGTGTCACAACCACAGTTCTGCTATCTGCTGAGTTTTAAAGTACTGAAGATTGATCCCAGAGCTTTCCTACTAACCTATCTCCAGCTCTTTTTTATATTTACTTTGAGACAAGGTTTCACTAAATTGCTTAATTGTGCTATAGCTGAGCTCAAACTTGGTTTATCTTTTTTTTTTTTTTTTTTTTTGTATTTTTACCGGTACCAGGGATTGAACTCACGATCACAGGCTTGCAAGGCAGGTGCTTATGCCGCTGAGCTAAATCCCCAGCGCAGCTGAGCTCAAACTTAATGATTCTCCTGCTTCAGCCTCCCAAAGTGCTGGAATAATGGGCATGCACCACCACATCCAGCTCTACGGTAACTTTTATCCCTCTCTGTTCCTCACAGATTTAGGTTCCAAGTTCTATCATTTTTTTCTTCTGACCATCTCTGAGACTAGCCCTATCCTGTTGCCATGCCCACTCTCCTGTCCTTAGTCCCACTACTCACTACGATCCTCCTTACATGAGGTTTCCTCAGTCCACCAAGAGTCCAGTTTTGTGTTTTTCTTTTTGAATGGGGTCTCACTATACTGCCCAAGGCGGCCTTGAGCTAATAGACTCAAATGATCCGCCTGCTCAGCCTTCTGAGTAGCTAGAACCACAAGGCACACCAATACTCTCAACTAGATCTGTTTCCTTGCCTTCCCACCCCCTTACTAGGGACTCACCACAGGGTCTTTGCACTGAGCTATATCCCCAGTCCACCGCCCTTAATTTTTAATTTGGGGCAGGGTCTTGCTAAATCATTTATGTCAGACCTGGGATCAAACCTTTGATCCTTCTTCAGCTGCCCACAGAGCTATGCCTTCAGGCATGTGCCACCACGCCTAGTTTTCTTCTAAAATTCCACTTTTGTGTTCTTATGCTCAATAAATTCTAATTCTGTATATCACCCCTGGATTTTAAACATCCTATCCTTTAATACCATTTATTTTCCACTGTTCCCCCAGGTCTGCCTGAGCTCCCTCCACTACTGCCTACCCTCAGGCCTGTTCCCGCTTGTCCGCTACTCCTTAGAAGACTCTTCCTATGGCTACCAAGCTTCTTCCTAGCCAGCCAGCTCCCTCCCAAGGAAGCTCAATGAGCACTCAGAACATCTGGGAGGGTCAAAGTGAAAAAGAAAGAACAACTGCGTGGAAATTTGTAAAATGAAACTAATTTTAAATGGCTCTTTTTTCTCAGGTTATGGCTTTCAATTTTCATGTTAAAACACCCTTTTACTTAATAATATAACAAAACATGGTAATAGTTTTGACAGTAACTGGACAAATAAAAATCTGGCAATAATTTGGCATAAATGTTTTTGACAGGTCTGAGAATCACTGCTCTGACTGTTGCTGAGCTGTTCCCTCCTTTCAATCCTATTTATTTGCAGGCTACATAGTTTCAGCACTCATTGCTGACTTTCTATACAGGCAGCTCTGTTCCCACAGTTAAGTCCCAGACATTGGCTGAAGTGCTAGTACTCAGTAGGCAT